GTACCTACCTACTCTCTCTCTCTCTCTCTCTCTCTCTCTCTCTAACATACCATCTCTCTCTCTCTCCCCCTTGGCGTTCACAACCTAATCTTTTTTTACATGTTTTTTTCTAGGTATTACATTCGAATCCTACATGTTGGTTAGTTATTAGGATACCAAATTATTCGGTAGCTTTGTCATTAAGATGTAACTATTTCTAGTGCTTTGTTATTAGGATACAAATAATTATATAGGTTTGTTTTACACTTTAAATTCTATAATTAATGTGCACCTCAAAACTCCATTAGAAAAGGCTATTTTGATGTGGCAAAACCATCTAATTCATCATCTCGATGTCAATATGTATGGATATATATATATAAAAAAGAAAAAAAAAAAAATTTAAAGGTCTAACAAATACTACATTTTGCAACACATTATTTGGACTGTCTATTTTCAAGATTGTCATACGTTTATAGACATGCTTGATTTCATCTATTTTTTGGAGTTTAAAATTTATAACTACATTTGAAAATAGATTCTCGGGTTATCCAAAAAGTTTTGGACACCAAAATTGCATCTTGTAACAAAGTTTAGAGGTGCGCCTTACTTTAATTGTTTCCAATATTATTAACATACACTAATCATTTATCTGTTAGATTTTAATTGCTCAATTCACTAAATTTTAATCTTTCCTCCTGTACGCATGTCTAATTTTTCATCTGCTGGGTATTGCTTATGACACATACATCTTATCTTGGAAAGCACAGATGAATAACATTTTCTTCTTATTTCTAATTTCATCGTCATGCATTTTATATTTGAGTTGGAGGAAATTGGAAAGAGCAGCTTTTATTAATACGAGCTAATGAGATAGCTCCTTGGTGTTTAAGGAATAATGGAAAAATACCCCTGCCTCTCTCCATGCTTTACTTTGTATAAAACACAAGTAACACCAATCGAGCCCTGCCCGAGGCCAGTATTTAAGGCGATTTCAAGTGGACTATCTTGAGCCGTGAGTCGTATAGAAGCCCGAACAGACTTTAAAATTTGGAAAAAAATTACAAAATATTTATTAAAAATAAATAGTGCAAAAAATAACTAAACTAAAAAGAAAATGTCTAAAGAAATATTCAAAAGTATAGATAAAGGTCAATTTAAAAAAAAAAAATCATATATCACTCAAAAAATCCCAAAAAAATTAAAAAAAGAGGAAAATAAAAAAATAGAGCTTATAATAAGAAATTCTATAACGTAGAATCCTTAAACAAACCAATTAAGCTCACACCTCTAAATTTTATCATATAACTTTGGTGTAAAAAATTCTTAGGATTATCTTAACATCTATTTTCATCTCTAATTATAAAATTTTAAACTCTAAAAATGGTAAAAATCAAGTAGATCTATAAACATATTTAAATCTTGAAAATGGACGGCCTAGATAATATGTTGCAAAATACACTATTTATGGGACTTAAAATTTTTTTTTTTTTTTTCCACATTCATACATCTCGATGTTGAGTGATCAATTAGAGGCAGCCTTTTCTGAGGGATTTTTGAAGTACATCTTTAATTCTACATTTTAAGGTGCCAACTTACAACCTTATATAAACCTTTTCCATAAAAAAAAACTCACAAATCATCTTTAAAAACATCAAAAATACATTAGATAAACAGGCACTAACTCTCCTCGAACATCTCAACAGGCAGTTCCCCTGTTTCTATCAGAGATCGCACCATCAAAATGGAGAGGAAGTCTAAACATCCTTTTCCAACTCTTAATCACAGTTGGGATCTTGATTGCCAACCTTGTTAATTACTGGACTTCTTCCTTACACCCCTGGGGTTGGAGGCTCTCTCTCGGCCTTGCTGGTGTACCTGCGGCCTTGCTATGCTTCGGTTCATTGCTCATTGTGGAGACACCAACAAGCTTGATAGAGAGAGGGAAGACTGAGAAGGGGAAGGCCACTCTTGAGAGAATTAGAGGCACTATGAATGTCGAACCCGAATTCCTGCAGCTTGTCGAGGCATGTGAGACTGCGAGTGAAGTTAAGCACCCGTACCGCAGGCTCATGAGGCGTGACAGTCATCCACGTCTGTTGATCTCTATCATCCTGCAGGTATCACCTCTCTCTCTCTCTCTCTCTCTCTCTCTCTCTCTCTC